GGAAAGAGTTTTAAGTGGGCATTTAAAAGTCTGAGCAACTATTTAACAACTTTTTTAAATTCCAGGTTATTAAAATTTCTTCATTCTCATTGAAATTGCAAGGAGAAGCATCCTCTGTGGGTCCGTAAGATAGAGAGGTGGCTGTGGCTGCAGACACAGCAGGTCACACTGGAATGTCACAGTACTGCAGGCTGCGAAGTGCAGCAGCGCCTGATCTCACCGTACACCGTGCTAGAGAGAGGAGGCCGGGCGGTTCCCTTTAGGCACTGGAGGGATGTGCGCTTCGACAGCACTTGTTTAAATCACTTATTTAGAAAGGAGCTGGAACTTGCCTTGGTCTAAGTTACCCATATACCTGACATTAAGCTCAAACTGACATCACCAGGTACACAGTCACGTTAGGCTACGCTGCCATAAACTCTGCTTTACAGTTAAGCAAGTTAAGGCTCCATCATTTTTCTGTTTTTCAGACAAGATACAGACATTTGATAATACCGCTCTGAGAAGGCTGTTGAGTACGTCAGTCCCTAGCAGACAGAAATACACGTAGCTGCTGTTGCCTGTCAGAGACTACCAGGATACCGAGGCTTCGGTAGGAGCTTCGTGGTCAGCACGCGCATCGATGCGATGCCCGTTAGCTTGGTAACTGTCAGAGATGAGGCTGTGCGGTGCGCGGCAGGGAGATCAAGATGCCAGTGGTGTATGTTGCTGCAGCTGCAATTCGTGACTTTTAGTCATTCCGTGCAGTTTTGTGGTGTTTGCCTGAGGGTATGCTTTCGATCCAAGAGCTGCTTAAGCAACAGAAAACACAAAACTGGCAGAGTAAGGCAGCGTAAAAGGTTAAACCTCAGCTTTCAAATGAGCTCCGATGTTGCCCAGCCCCATCGAAGCTACCATGTTTTGCCCTTACAGTACCTAAAGAAGCTTTAGGAGGAGATGGGAGAAAGCGCTGGGACTCTGTGTCAGTAAAAAGCTGCCACGCTAGAAATAATGCTGTCCGCATCCCCCCTCGGGGAAGGGGAGGAAGTAAAACCCACTAGAGGAACTAGAGGAACAAATATGGAGAGAGAGAGACTTGGTAGCATGCATGGAAATACTTATCTTTTAATTTATTTATGTGTATATTGTTGGGACAGGGGTGTTTGTTAGGTCTTGGGAAAACAATTTGAGGCTTGGCTTTGAGTCACTTCGGTGTTTTTGGAGTCACGTAGCCCTGATGGCATCAATACCTCTCTTACAGTAGGAGGAAGCTGATGCAAGCTGACAAATTGTGGCGTTCCCTCAGGTAGGGTGATGAGCACAACATTTATGGTGCAAGGACCCCAGACAGCGCAGCGCAGATCCTCATGTACCACTGCCAAGCAGCCTTGTGTTGCTGCCAGCAAACCTGGTGACCGAATACAGCACGCTTGGCGTTCGTAACACACACGCATGCTCAGTTTTATGGTAGCATGAAATAATAATGCATACAGTCCCCCTTCGCTTGGAGGTACCATGTGCCCATCTTGAGCTCACCTGGCTTTCAGAAAACAGGGAGAGCCTGAGCCCTGCGGAGTGAGAGAGTACGATCCAGGTGAAAACGCCACGCTAGATCCTCCTCCTGTGCAAGCGGTATGAGCGCATTCTCAGTACCTCTAAATAATTTTACACTTGGCTCTAAAATTTCACTTAACCCCAGGGGACATAACTGACCTGCATTTCACCAAGACTTCCCATCAAGGACTGCTGCTTGCTAGAGAACACGCAGCCCTTCAATCATACCAGGGCGTGGTTTTGAGCTGCTTAGTCATCCATTTTAATTTCACATCAATTCAACAACTGATTGAATACAGCGTGTTTATTCCCTTCCAAATAAATCTCAAAAATGAAGCCAGCATCCTGCCCGTATCACAAACATTTCGGTATTGCTCCATTAGCAGTTCCCACTGGTGCCTTGCTCATGCTGCGAGCTACAGAACGGCACCTGCAGCCGGTTAGATGAGATCAGTCCAGTTAGATTTGACAGTCACGCTGTTAGACACATACAGCGCTTCGCTTGCAGACCTTAACCCAGGTTGATTCAAAGAGCAGACGGGAGGTATTCACTGCTTCGATCTTTGCCAAACCCCGGAGCAGCATATATGTATTTCCAAGGGGGAACTGTAAACTGTCAGGAGGTCTATATCCAAACATCTTCCATCTTCTTTTTCATTGTTCCTAAATCCCCTCAAGTGGCTCTTGCGCATGAAAACTGCACATATCACAGGCATGTTTCCCTCAAGAAATCTCTGCATTATGCAATAAAGGAATCACTTTCTGCTCTGTCCCCTTTTATCTCTGCTTTACAAAAAGGTTCTTGAAGGCATTGTTGTAATTTTTGTTAAATGCTGTATAAATGAGAGGATTGAAGAAAGAATTGGAGTAGCCAAGCCAAAGAAAGATGCTTTTCCAGACGGGTGGGATGTTGCAGGAACAGAGGGGACTTATTAATTCTGTGATGAAGAAAGGGATCCAGCAGAGTACAAAAACTCCAATTAAGATGCCAACCATCAGAGCTGCCTTTTTCTCTTTCTGTTCTCTCCATGTTTCTCCATCTGTCTGGAAAGTGATAGCTGCATGACGAGCTGTAAACACCATCTGTGGTTCATGCGAAGCTTCCTTCACCTCAAAACAAAAGCAAACACGGATTCTTACCAAGACAATTTGTTTGAGTGAAGTATTTCTTTTAAATGACAGCACGACATCTGTGCACCTACCACAAAAGGCCCCAACTCCGTTCCTTCCATGCTAAAAGAAAGAAAATGCCCCAGAGTGCCAAAATTACCAGACTTCTCGTTATGTTGGAAAAGCTGCTGAGTGTGACTGACAAACAAAGCGAAATAAAGAGTAGCTGAAGCTGCGTGTGTTGTGGGCATTCTTTTTCAGTTTATTTTATTGGATGCCTTGATACCTAGTGGGAAATCAGGTTGGTAAGGAAGGCTAACGAAGGCATGTGCCTTCTGCCCATCCCTAAACCAGACTCTCCTGTGCTGCTACGTGACCTTTAGGGTTTCTGAGGCCTGAATCGTAAATGAGTTTCATTCCACTGCAGGCCCTTGGGGTCATTTCCCTACGGTGTTAGGGAGGGACCTACAACAAATGCCCGCTCGCCGACTACAAGATAAAGCTAATTTCTTCAGCCTAACTGCCTGGGTGCAGAGCTCAAAATCCCATCCCTGGGGGGTGCAGGAGCTTGGCACTACCACTTGTCCTGCAGAAGGGACAAAGCATACCCCCAAAAACTCAGCTAAAACTGCAGGAAAATTTTTCCATCAGAACCTTTTTTTAAAGAAAGAATGGGATTTCAATTAAAGGGAAGTTTTAAGAAATGTGTCTGATCTTTGGAAAATGCCAATTATTTCATTACCCCCCAAAAATCATAAATGCCTGAAATAAAATACTTTGGAAATATTTCAGTGGAAATATTTGGAAAAAAAAATACTTTGGAAATATTTCAGTGGAGAGTAAACCCATCGCGAAGAGTCCCTTATGAAAGACAGAAGTCAGGTGCCTTCTGCTCTTCCTTGACAGAGGCTATCTCATCGCAGGCACTTCTCCCTCCTGGAGAGGGACAGAGCAGTGTATCGCACCAGCTGCAGCCTGGTCACACTGCCAACGCTCTATACGACAACGGGAGCATAAGGATGCACCTGAAGTGACGTACCCTCAGGCACTGTGCCACCATTTTGAATTAGCTTCTAAAATACTCTGGTAGCAATCAAAGAAAAGCTTTGCTGGAGAAGCAGCACTTTCTGGTCCTCATTTTCTCTCTTCTGTCACCTGTCCTTTATTTCACTCGGACCTACTTGGTGTTCTCACAAGAAGTACTCCACTGCCAGAAAAACACCATTTCAATCGGCCTTCAGTTCAAACTCTGGCTTCAACAGAAGTGTGTTACACAAGAGAGGGGAAAACGTCAGCTACT